CGACAAGTATAGACACTTCTCCATGGCAAAGATGAGACAAGTTTTAAATATTTACAATAGCCGTAAACAAAAAGGTTTGGGAAACCACTCCCCCGAAGAAATGAAAAACAACCCTGACTTAGAGAAAGACTATATATTTAATAATTTAGTCAAAAGAGACAAACAAGAAAGAATGCCGGGCTTCAAACTTCAGAAAGGAGACAAAGTAAAAATAGAAATACCCAAACGCGACCCATATGAAAATACTATTGACTATGACAACAATGGGAACCCGACAGGTACTCACATTCGTGTTCGTAAAAATAGAAGAAAGTATACAAGAGAATATTATGAAGTTTTAGGCAAACATGGCAAAATGTACAGACTGCAAGCAGAAGATAAAACGACTATTGTCAGACCTCGTTTCAAACCTGTCAAAGTTCAAGGTGGTATACTTTCAAAGACAGTTCCTAACAAATATAAGACAACTCCTGACGAATATGCTAAAGAAGTTGAAAATGACGACTAAGCATTTCTATACCATGCGTAAACTGTCATGTAAGGTGGCATGTAGTCTTTACTTTGTCCCGTTGTTTGCGTATACCCTGAAACGCGATGTGTATGGTTTCCATCTCCCTGTGTGCTACCCCAGAAACAATTTATAGCAAACTGAACGTCGTCTTTAACATCATATCCTTTACCTTTTTTCATTGCTGACCAATCCCAAAATCTATGCTTATGCCAACCTGCTTGAGATGTACTTAAATCTATGTAGTGACTGTGTGCAGGTAAATTTTCACCCGAAATCGTTTTACTTCCACCTGTTTCCTTTGAAGAGTTTGCACAATACAAAAACCTGTCGACTATTTGAGTCCAAGTTCCAAAACCAAGTACTACTTCTGGTCTGGTAGAGTTCATTGACGTATAAATAGAGCCAACCGGGTAAATGGTTTGAAGTATTTCTGTCTTTAATGTTTGAAGCTCTGTTTTGTCTGCTTTCTTATCTAACATTGTTGGTAGTTCATATGCTTCAAAGTTTCTGGCATGATCTTCGATATTCCTGCAACTGTTAACTAAATTGTTAAGAGTATCTTTTACACTAGTGCTTGGATTCTCTGAAGGTGCACTTGAACCAAGGTCAAAGTTCAATACTATGTCGTCTGCTGTAAAAGTTGTAAAACTTGTATGTGTATGTCCAACGTCACTTTTCCTGTTTAAGGTTTCTTGTAAGTTTGTAATATTTGCAATGGTATGTGTATGTCCAACGTCACTTTTCCTGTTTAAGGTTTCTTGTAAGTTTGTAATATCAGATATAGAATGTGTATGCTGTTTTTGTGGGTATGTTCCTTCTGTCCATTTGAAAATATATTCTTTTGTTGCATTTACATATCCAACTATCCATGTCGAGTCTGCTTTTGTATTCCTTAACTCTGTAACACCTTTCTCAAGCTCTTTCAACTGTTGTCCATCTTCCATTAAAGCTTTGTCATGACTTGAAACCGTTTGTGCCAACATATCTACAGTTTCTTTGTCAGCTTTCTTTTCAACATCCTCTTTCGTTGCATATGTTGCATCTGCTCTGTCATGTTCTTCTTGAACTTTTTCAATGACATACTCTTTGTCAGCTTTGTTGTCAACATCTGCTTTCAAAAGAAGTTCTTTTATAGGTTTCTCGTTTAAGGTTCCTTTTGTTGGATTTATACAAACAGTATGGTTCTTGTTGTCTTGAAACAGAAACTCATCTGTCATTGGGTTTAATGTCAGTTTTAAGCTTCTTCTTTCAATGACTCAGATATCTTAGAATAGTTTGAAAAGTTTGTTGTGTTCTTATTTAGAGCTTGTATAATGAGTTGTCGGTTGTGTTGTATTTCTCTCATAGACGCTGTTTCATTTGACATTTTTATTCTAGATAAAATATGCTTCCAATAGAAAAGGAAACTTCTAGAGTTGCTACAACTAAACCATTAGATGAACTTTTTACGAATGTCGGTCAAAAGTTTGAGACAGAGACCGTAAAGCATGAAGGCTATCGTTTTGACTACCCGTTAAGATGGCTAAGAGACCCATCCGTCACAAAAGCTATTGGCTTTCGTAGAATGAAGTTCATTTCAGAAGCCATACATGGTTTCCCATTTACGGTCGGTTTTGAAGTTCGATACTATAACAAAGAAAAACGTACGTATGAGAAATTTGAACAGGGAAAACTTTTACAAGTGAATTTGCTTGTAAACTTAGAAACAACTCTTCAAGCTTTTCAAGAAAAAATAAACGATATCTATCTCGAATATGCAAACCAGTTTAACATTGACGAAGGAGAGTACCATCTCGATATTATATATGACAGGAAAAATGCAACTGTTAAAATCAATAGAATAGAAGACCTTGGAGAAAACGTTTATATTTCTACAAAATATAACAACTTGGCATGGTATAGATTTTTGAGGATGTTAAATCAGCCTGCAGCATATCCAGTACACCCGGACTTTTATGAAGTCGAAAACCCTAATGGAACATATGAAAATGTTTTCGACTCAGATGCTATTATAGTTCATGCTTCATTTTCTGGTGCACAAAACTCTTTTTTATGCTTGGCAAATGACTTTTACGAAAAACCTACAAAGCTATATGAACCACCGAGTGGAAGTATTTCAGACTTTCAAGTATGGTTTACTACAGATGGAAGAAAGAGAATAATTCCATTATACCATGCGTTTTACTTAGAACTTAGTTTCATATACAACTACTATCGAACGGTAAAAATATAATTTTTTAATACGGTTGAGGTGTTGGATTTGGTTGCCAACTAGACTGTGGTGCAGGTTCAGGCTGTTGTATAACAGGAGCTTGTTCTTCTGGTTCAGGGTCTTTAGGTATAATACCAACGAACTGACCTACTCTTTTACCAATATTTTTGACACCGTTCCAAATTCCTCTTCCGACAGATTTTATTCCATTCCATATACCTCTTCCAACATTTCGAAAGAAGTTTCCTATTCTTCCAAAGAAACCCATTTTACTATATGTAAAAATCTAATGTCCGCCTAGTCTCTTACGTTTCCTGTTGAGTTCCATAGCATTCTTTAACTGGAGCTCATACATTCTATTTCTCCTCTGGTAGAAAACATACTCTGGGTCAACTCCTGTGTTCGCGTCATCTGCATAGAGTTGTTTATATCCCACTTCAGGGTTTGTATAAAACTCTTTCCATCTCATATTTGCATACCATGGTGGCAAACCTAACGCAGCGTCATTTGACATGGCAGTTTGCATTTGTACATCTGTTGGCACTTGACCATAGTTTGCCATTGCAGTTTGTATTCTAACTTCATTTGGAATATTCTCTGGGTTTGGTTGTCCAGGTTGCTGTGTATTCGCTAAGTTCTGTGCGTCCATTTAATATTAGATAAAAATATCTCTTACGAGTACATATACTGAACATTTGCAGGCATCGGTTCATCTTCATATTCTCTGTACTTTTCTGCCACGTCAAAGAAATAGATGACACAATGGAAAAAACCTAAAACAAGTAGTCCTATTTCAAACCACATTTACTTACCAATAAAATTTCTTTGTTATGACACTTTTTCCGGTTTATAGGACCTCTCTCATATTCTATCTTGTCATATCTAAACTCATAGTCATGTATGTCCTCTAACCATCTCATAACGGTTTCCAAACCACTTTTATCGGATGTAAAGTAAAAGCATGGATGGTTATGTAAAACGTCTAAAGTTTCTAAAGAGTCTCTCAAAGTCCAGTCTACTTGGTATTGAAAATCGCATGTGTTATAGAACGGCGGGTCCACTATAAAGAAAACATTTTCCTTGTCTTTAAATTTTTCATACAACTCTGTCCAATGACATCTCACAAACTCTATACCCTCAATATATTTTTCTATGTCCTCTTTGAAAACCTTTGTATAGTTAAGATATAAAACGTTTGACATAAGTGTTTCAATGTCATGAACTCTTATAGAACCACTATATAATAGTCTAGAAGATATACTATCCCAGTCAATATATTCTGCTTTTTTCAAAACCTCTCTCACAATATCTTTCTTATCTAATGGTATACTTTCCATCTTACCTATAGGTATCTTTTCTTTCAACTCACTCAATATTTTGTTTGTGTCTGGTATATGTTTGAGACGGTTCATATAGTTGTCGAAGTCATTGCATATAATCTTTGAGTCAGGAAATATTGTATGGCACAGATGGGATATATAGAAACTTCCACCGAACAAATCTACAAATGTTAGACCATTCGGTAGTTTCTTAAGTTCTCTCAATAGAATATCTTTACATCTACTCTTATTTCCAAAGAAGGGTAACGGTGGTTTTGTAAAATTCATTTTATATATATAATAAAACTGTTTTTACCTGAAAAGTGACAGAAAACTGACTGGGGCTAGAGGGCACGAAGTGCCTGGAAGCCCCACTACCTTTTTTTTTTTTTAATTCAGATAAACAATGAACTTGAAGGAATGTAAAGAATGATTTGTCCTCCCAAAATCTTTATGGCAAGCACTGTTATGGAAAAAATCTATGTCAAATGTGCGGGAAATACATCGTTATTATGAAGTTCAAAAATATCACATTTTTTGAATCTTATCATATTAAAATGGGCATATTTGAAAGAATCTAATGTTTTTGACTAGCTTTAACAAAATAATTATTAATAATGAATTCCTACCAAAGAAGCTTTCCTTATTTGGGAGAATTCGATAAGAAAATTGATAGAATAGCATTAATTTTAGGTTCATTCATATCAAATTAATATTATTTTGGATCATTATATAAATATAAACTAATTTTATATGATAAAAGGTTAATTTTATTGAAAAATTAAACATTTCAGTGCTCATAATATAAAAATATCAATATCATTAGAAATCTTCGACTCATATGTGTGAGCATGATATTTTTGCCTCTCAAAATATGATTTATTTCAATAGAAAATCAAATAAGATTTAATAATATGAGAAAATATGTCTTTAAAGTTTTTTATAACAAAAACATTATTTAGAATAAGAAGTCCAAGTCATTTGCTTGGCGGATTTCAGCGATTGTAGATTCACTTCTCTTCTCTTTCGCTCTTCTTGAGTGTTTCTTTGGAGTATGTCTTGGAATGTTTTCTGCAGGTGGGCTTAGCAACTCTGGATGTGGTAACATTGGAGGCATCACTCCTGAATCATAGTCAGGAGGAGGAAGAAGCAAGACGAGATTGTCGTAATCTGGATTCTCGCTTGCGCGTGGTTCTGTGTCTGATCCATCATCATACCTTGAAGGTGGTTCGAACATCTTCAATGATTGATGAATTGCATCAGCAGCGCTTTTAACTCTTCTCTTTCTTCGCTTCCTTTCCAATTCTTCTTCTGTGAAATTCCTCTTGATTGGGGATTTTCTCTCTTCCTTTGGAGATTCTGGTTGCTTGAGAATGATCTCTGGCTTTTCTCGTTTTTCAGTTGGAGCTGCATCGATTGAAAAGTCTTCTGTTGAAAGAGATAATTTTGCAGGAATATTTGCGTCTGTAAAAATTGAAGGACGACGCTCTTGGTGAGAAGCTTGTTCCTTCATTGCTGCCTCCTCTTGACTTATTGTCTTATGAGATTGAACGTTTTGAGATTTCATCACTTCTGAGTCGAGATTTTGTATAACTTCGGGCTTGTATTCATCAGGTGATAATGGCTTAATTTTTCCGCTTCTGATATCATTCAATGAGGCAGAAGAGCATGATGATGAGCCACCATCACTTGAATCCTCGTGATTGTCAATTTCATTTTTGGCATTTGAATAGTTTTTGCCTTTGAGCTTGAATTTGTTATAGAACTTACTGATGACTATTGGAGTTTTGTACTGATTATGCTGATCGGCATAATTTGTTTCGTAATCATCATCTCGGATACTCGGGCATAATAAATGTATAGCTGTTATAAAGCAAATAACAGGGAATATAATTAAAGAAGTAATTCCAAATAATAAGCGTAAAGTATATATTAATGCATAGTTGTGGCGAGCATAACATGGTTGGCATAATTTTTCGCCGCAGGAGTAAAAGCAACGACTGTTATTGCAATGATTATCGTAACAGTTTTCGCACTTTCTACATCCGAAAGCATTGTAGTCATCATAATAATATCTTGGATGACTCTGATAAAAGTCGACTACTTCATAGTATCCCTCGCAGTTGGTGCAGCAGCATAAGCATGGACTCATAAGGCTACCATAAAGTCTATTGAAATGTCTTTTTCCAATAAAATAAATTATTAATGCTGAAGTAATGCCAATGACATAGAAAACAGCAATTGATGCTACAACTGCTGCAATAGTCTTCTTATTTGACGGATTGTTGTCTCTTTCTGGTCCAGGAACTGGCTTGAATGTCTGTGTTTCAGTTGTATCAAAGGAAATTCTAATATTTCGCAAGTCTTTATTGGATTTTGCGTCAATTGACATCGAAATAGTTGATTTATTGAGTAAAAGTGTTTGATTGGAATTATCAAATTTAATTTGTTTCCCGTTACTGTATATGATGACATCAGTCGGATGATATTTAGTTGTGTCAAATTGAACCAGAATGTTATATTTCAATGGAGGATAGAGCTTCAGATATGAAATTATTTTTCCTGCGTATTGAGATAAATCGATGTTAAACGTTGAGTTTGTTGTGTCACCATCAAATATGGGAACAGAATTGAGTTTTTCTTCAAATCCAACTGAACCAAAAGTTAAAGTAAGTATCTCATTGTTTGGTGAATTCTTTTTGATTTGAAACATGCCACTTGTATCTTGAACGATTGTCAAATTCGATGAAACTTTTAGATTAAAATTAAATTCATTTTTCTGTGCATTTAAATAGTAATGAGATATTGAATATGAATTAATCTTGTCGGTGTAAAGTCCTAGATAATTAGACTTGTACAATATGCCTTTGATTTGGTAATTAACGCAATAAATTGACTTATCATCGATAAATAAATTGATTGATTTGGTTGTGAACATATTAATATCGATGTGTGTTGTTTGATCACATTGAATATTCTTACACAAGGCGAATATAGACAAAAAAAGAATCATTAAATATTTCAATAAATGAAAATGTGACAAGTTTAGATAATCTTTCAAATAATTAAATGATTAAAATATTAAAATAAAATCAACTTTTTTGATTCAAAATTATGACCATCCAATGCTATCTCATTTCATACTTTACATTAATTAAATTTTGTTTATTTCTTTCAATATTGACTTATTGCGTCTAGTTATTTATAAATTGATGGGAAAATAGGAATTTTTAAAATTTCTCTCAAAAAAACTAATTTGAATTGAAATATATCGCATTTGAGAAAGTATACAAAACTGTTATAGACCGAAAATAGATTTTTTCGGTTTTCTCTTCAAATAATTGAAAGAATGATACTATTATAGGTTTATTATATTATATAGCATATAATCATGCTATAGCCGAAAATTATAAGTTTTGAGAAGATTGAATATAACACAAATAAATTTGAATGTAAGTTAAATTGCTTGTTGTTTTTAATAGCTATTTAATGAGAAATCCAATATTGCAAAATTCAAATTGAATGATTGAAAGAACAGAAAAAGTCATTCTTTTCAATTTCGAATATGTTTCATTGTATTTATAATTATATGGCAAATAAGATATTTAAACTTGATTTTTGAAGGAAAATTCACAAAATTGAATAAATTCAAATAATTTTTATTCAAAAATAAACTAGTTATTTGAGTTTAATACTAATTATCTATTCAAACTACAAAGTTTGTAATTTAAAATATTTTGTGAGATCAGATTGAATTAATTCAAGGTTCTTTTCAATTAATATTAATGACCATATTACGCATTTTCGAACATTCTAAACCAAATATATAAAAATGGGAGACGAATGTTAAATTTGCTAGACATGGGGGAGTTGTCTGCAAAGTTTTAGCTCTTATCTCTAACAAAAAATTAATTTTTAAAAAAAAGACCGAATACGTTTCACAGCGAGAAAAAAATAAAAGGCAAGATAGAATTTTCTAGACATAAAGAAGTTGTTTACCGAGTTTTAGCTCTTATCTCTAACAAAAAATTAATTTTTAAAAAAAAGACCGAATACGTTTCACAGCGAGAAAAAAATAAAACTTTACACTGATTTTAATTTTCATTTCTAGTCACTTTACTTATTATTTTTTCTTTTTTTTCATTTTAATTATAAATTATTTCATAATACGTTTATTTACGTTACCATTTTCTTTATTCTTTTGAATTCCATACTAGACACTTATAGAATATTTTGATTGTTAACGTACTTCATTAGAATGAATCCTTACAAAGGGTATGTCGATCGAATTTACCTAATTGGTATTTCCAATCAGATTGAAGAAGGTAAAATGACATGGGAAGAAGCTTGCACCCATGTTCCCATCGCCCCAACCCTTCAATCAAATGATTTCAAATATTTAGATGTTTCAAACTCTTTTTACAAAATCAATTTAGCTTACAGAATATCCCATTGCCTAAAGGCAAGAAAGGTCGTAGGGTCAATCCCTACGACCAAATCAAAGCTCTTGCTGTGATACATGACCACTGGGCCTTTCCCTGTGGTCAAACAAAACAATGGAACGTTTGAAATTACAACAAATTGATGTATCTTATAGAGAAGTACGCAGATACTTCAAAGAAAATCATTTCACCAAGACGCGATTAGAGCATGCCGGGCCAGAAACAGCAGTAAGATATTGGGCGCTTTCACCCAATCTTATCTGGCACGCAGATGTTCATTATTTTAGGGGTGTTCGTGGCCAGTATATTTATGGCATAATCGACGATTTTAGCCGCAAAGTCCTAGCGTGTATACAAATACCAGATATGCTGGCAGCGACGACAGCGAACGTTGCAGCTTCCGCCTTCATTGAATTTGGCGCCCCTTATTGTTTCTGGACCGACAACGGTTCAGAAAATAGGGGCGCCTTTCAAGATCTACTTGATCTTTGGGGCGTCCAATGGCGGCATACAGACTCTCATTCTCCCTACCAAAATGGGAAGATTGAGAGATTCTGGCCGACATTGGAGCGCTGCCAAAGCATTCAGGCTATTCCTGCCTTTATTTGGGAGTACAATAATAACACACCGCATGAAGATCTCCCAATTAATCCATTAACTGGAACAAATTACACGCCAAATCAAATGTATCAGCTGAAACCGAAATACACAAATGCAGATACAGAAAGGTTGTGGCAAATATGGATACAGATACAGGCATGACCGCTGTTGACACATTCACAGCGTAATAATAAACATAATTTTTTAATTTCATTTTTAACAAGTTTTTTTAAATGTATGTAATGAATAATTCATTAGAATATGATAATGCACATTGTAACAGTATAGAACAATCACCAAATTTTTTTTGAAATTAAAAAATAAAAGTAAAAAGTATAAAGTAATCTAACCAAAAAAGATATTTAAAAGAATTTTGGAAAAAACAGAATAAGGATAATGATATTATTTTAGATACACAATCGATTGTTACTGAAGAATAATCCGGTAAAATGATGATATAAAATTAGATTATTTTACAAGTAGCTAAAAGAATAAAACTATAATATAAAATAAATGAAGTTTAATGAAACAATAAAGGTTAAATAAATAATAAAGATTTTTTATTTTATATCAGTATTGAGAAGAAGTAACAGCTGACACTTGGTAGACAACTTCTTTATGTCTAGAAAATTCTATCTTGCCTTTTATTTTTTCTCTGTGAAACGTATTCGGTCTTTTTTTTAAAATTAATTTTTTGTTGAGATAAGAGCTAAAACTCGGTAAACAACTTCTTTATGTCTAGAAAATTCTATCTTGCCTTTTATTTTTTTCTCGCTGTGAAACGTATTCGGTCTTTTTTTTAAAAATTAATTTTTTGTTAGAGATAAGAGCTAAAACTTTGCAGACAACTCCCCCATGTCTAGCAAATTTAACATTCGTCTCCCATTTTTATATATTTGGTTTAGAATGTTCGAAAATGCGTAATATGGTCATTAATATTAATTGAAAAGAACCTTGAATTAATTCAATCTGATCTCACAAAATATTTTAAATTACAAACTTTGTAGTTTGAATAGATAATTAGTATTAAACTCAAATAACTAGTTTATTTTTGAATAAAAATTATTTGAATTTATTCAATTTTGTGAATTTTCCTTCAAAAATCAAGTTTAAATATCTTATTTGCCATATAATTATAAATACAATGAAACATATTCGAAATTGAAAAGAATGACTTTTTCTGTTCTTTCAATCATTCAATTTGAATTTTGCAATATTGGATTTCTCATTAAATAGCTATTAAAAACAACAAGCAATTTAACTTACATTCAAATTTATTTGTGTTATATTCAATCTTCTCAAAACTTATAATTTTCGGCTATAGCATGATTATATGCTATATAATATAATAAACCTATAATAGTATCATTCTTTCAATTATTTGAAGAGAAAACCGAAAAAATCTATTTTCGGTCTATAACAGAAAGTATACAAAACTGAAAAATATTAAAAATGTGATTTTATTTTTGAGAGTAATAAATTTATATTTACCCTATTTTTAATTTTGACAAACTGCCAATTCAAAGTTAAAACATAACTTCTCCAAAATGTCTATGACAATAATGATAGCTAAAGAATAACTATGCCAAGTGAAACTTTTATTAAACATTATAGCCTTCAAAACCAAGTTTGCATCGATATTTGCACAAAAAAATTCTTTTTTGTTTGTACCCGAAGGAGAATTATTCCGCATCAACATCAAGATGATGTTCCTTTACTTCAAAGCATTTAAATAAAGAAATCTCAAATCTAATTTTGATTCTGCAATACTGTATATTAAATAGTTAGAGTGCTTCAATGTGTCATTTGGATATAATTTAATAGGTCATCAAAATAAATATTCATTCGATATTGAAAATTCATTTCTAACTGTACTCATGTTCATTCTCATTTGTAGTTTCTGACCAATGGATGGTATCATTTCTTTACATCATAGTTTGGTTTATTGAAAATTATAAATTTCAAAATTCACTATTTTTAGCTCATTGAATTAGAAAGCAATGTTGTGTGGTACAAGATTATATTAAGCTTATATTTCTTAGGCATTTAGATTAAAATCAAATCGAACCACGAAAATTCACGAAAATTAAAATGCTATAGCGTAGATTCGAATGCTATTGATGGAGCTTATTCCATCTTATAACCTATATTAGCATATGTAAGGGTGAATAATATTCCGTTGTAAGAAATTGTCACTTTTTCTTAGGAATTCCCTTTGAATTTTTTTTTCCGGGGAATAACTGACAACCGTTTAGTCATCTTAAGAATGTCACGCCGTCATCTTATACCACAAGAGGCCAAAGACGAAATTGCTGAAGTCTTCGAGCTTTTCGATGCTGATAAGAGTGGCTGCATTGATCGTCAAGAACTCTATGTTGGTATTCGTGCAATGGGCTTTAATGTTACACAACAAGATATAGAAGCAATCTTTAGAGAAAAAGATGTAGAAAATCTTGGATACCTTGTTTTCAAGCAATTCCGTGAAGTTATTGGTCAAAAATTACAAGAGAGAAAACCAGAAGAAGAATTTAAGCAGGTTTTCGCACTCTTCGATAAAGAACACACAGGTAGAATTGGTATTCGTGAAATCAAGCGTGTTTGTATGGAACTTGGCAAAACAGATCTTACAGATGATGATATGAATGCTATGATCCGCCAATTTGATACAGATGGCGATGGATTCATCACACAAGCCGAATTCGTAAGAATGATGGAAGGTGATTTCTAAGTCATATCATTGATACGGTAAACTTTTTTTATTTACTTATAAATAATAGCCAATTTACAAATATCTACTAAAAGGTTATTTAACTTGTTTAAATTACTGAATATTTCCTGTTTTTTATTCTTTGATTCATAGATATACATATCAATAAATTTGAATATTTCATATAAAGCTGCTTGCGTTAGGAGATTAAATCTATACCATTGTGACATTCTTATTACTTGCTCTTTCTTTATTTGGGTTTACTTTTTATGTGTTCGGCCACCTAAAATAAAATAAATGGAGAGCATTCCTTATTATATTGACGTTCTCAATGGACAAATCCAATTGGAAACAGACAAACTCAATGAGGTTTTAACATCAGTATATGATTTTTTAAAATCTCAAAGCTCTTTAACGTCGGCAATTTCAATAATTGAAAATCCACCTTCAGAAACATATTTTCTTGTTGCCAAATCCGTTATTTATAACCTCATACTCAATTTCGGTTTTTATTTCTTCGATGAAGATAAAGAAAAATTAAAGAAAATTGTTTATTCAGATAAATGGACTCAAAACTCTCCTCATCTTTTAGCATTACAAGTATTGATTACTCTCTCCTTCGAACGTGATTACAAATCCTTTTTTTTTCAAAATTATTTACAAAAGATAGCCAATATGTTTTAGATTTTCTCGAAGAATTTTTTAGCTCTCATGATCCAATCATACGTTCAGAGTTTTATAATTTTTCAGGAGAACTTTTACCCACAATTATTGAATATTTACGTTCACAATTTACAAAATCACCTGAAAAGTGCAGTAGAATCTTAATATATATTAAATATGCTTTCTCCAGTGTAGAAATTGATGCAAATTTCAGAGATATTATTATACAATCATTAGATCAAATAGATTCTCGAATTGAAGTTCTAGAACTAATTCAAGAATTATGTGATAGCAATGATTACGTATCTTACTTAAATAGTATCTCATTTCAAGATAAACTTATAGATTATATTTCGTATTATCAATATAACGAAGTTGGTCTTAATTTAATATCCCGTATATATTCAAGCCTTTCTTACAATGGTAGATTTGATCGCAAAGATCAACAAGCGTGTCTAAAATTATTTTTCAGTGGTTACAACACAGTTTCTGCTGAAATTGCTTCAATGATATATTTTGATTTCGATTTTTCCAATTTTTCAGGCATTTTCCAAAATCTCTATCAATATAATTGTGATGATGAATTTGAAGATTATAAATATTATAATTGGTTTTCAATTTACATTGGTAGAATGTTAGGATCAGGGCAAGCAAAAGAATTCTTAAAATACTTAAATGAACTTGTTAACTCGGAAGATTCATATTTTCCTGATTATGAAAGATTCGTTTTAACTGTTACAGATTTTCTCAAATTCCTTTATATACCCAAAGTAAGAATGAAAATGTTTGCTCCTATTTTGGATAAATTCAAGTATTTCTTTGATATCGAACCAGAAAATTCAAATCACATTGAAAACATGATTGTTGAAAACTTGTTCCGAATTTGTAGATGTGAAGATTCAACTGTTGATTTTGATCATGTATTTCATCAAATTGTTAAAAGAGCATGCGCATATCAATTCACTGATTTAGAAGCTATGAGTAAATTCTTGGATTCATTGGCTCCTGAGATTACTTTTGATTCTGATATGATTATTGGTCTTTTGTTACTTAATGATATCGATGCTGATGATTGCATTGGAAAAATGCTTGATTGTTTACATATCCCAACATTATTTGTTAATATTATTAATGATGTTATTCAAATTGATTACGATGGATCAAAGTTTGCGAGAATTATTGCAAGATTGAACAGTAAAAGACTATCTCCAGAATTTATTAAATACTCAGTTGATGTTTTGGAATCAAAAGCAGAAGAATTATATAAGAATGACTACAATTTCTTGTTTTTCTTTATGGCACTTGATGAATTACTTGGCAAAGACTGTTTCGATGTATTTAAACGATATTTAGTTCTTGATTTTGGAGATTTAACAATGGATATGATATTAAAAATCTATAATGATCACAATATCAATGATATAGAATTGTACAAATGTCTCTTTGATACTTTCTCAAAATTCTTCATTACAAAACCTAGTGAAATTTTTTCTGAAACACAAAGAGAAGACATTTTGTACAATTTAAGAGTATCTTCGTAAGAACACTTCCGAAAATGCCTTACGAATTAAGAATTGAATCTGTGGAATTCTATATCAAAGCATTGGAAAATCCTTATTGTGAAATCAACGAAAGTTATTTAGATCTGTTTGTGAATCAATTCCAATACATCGAACCTGATCAAATGAATGAATTATTGAAACTCTCTTGGACCATTATAAAGCGATATTCATTAACATCATTTTACGCTGGAGTTTTATCTGTTCATAAAAAATGTCTAGAGAATGGATATTCTGAAGAAGAAATTCTTGCTGGAATTGTTAATACACCGAATATTAAAAAGGAATTACTTAAATCATATATGGATTACCTGAGATCGCACTCGAGTGCTAAAAAATATTTGACGTTTACGAGGCAATTCATGAGGCTTTATCACCGATTAATAAATAAATTTTCTTGTTTTGTAAATAAAAATTGTATTATAAAATTACGAAATTGGAGAAGCTAATATTTTGGAATTTGGAGATCCCGGCTGTTATTTCTCCAAACTAGATCCTTACTTTTAATGAGATTTACTATTATAAGACTAACAGCTAATAATCATTCAATTTTTTTGTATTAAAACATTAAAATTGACTAAAATCACTGGAAATTATAATATATTTTTGCATAAGAAAATAAATTACTACAATAGTTCATCAATGTTAAATACTGATTTCAGAATGAATATTCAGACTAAAGACCCTGAAGCTATAAGTAATGGTATTATTAACATTATTTGTAGCTCAATGAATGGATATGATTGCTCCTATTTGTTACCGGATTTAGTTGATCTTTTATTTTCAGAAAATATTAATCTGGTAATACTAGCACTTAGAGCTTTATCAATTGCATCAAACCATTCAAATTCATGTTTAAACAAGTATCCTAATCAAATCAAAGTATTATTAAACAACGAATTCACAAGACCTCATATGATTCGAACTCTTACAGACTTACTTACAGAAGAATTATATTTGATGATAGAAAGTGACATTATGAATCTCATGGAAACAGCTGATCCATACATCCGAAAATTATCATTCACATTAATTTCAAAAGCTGCATTGAAATATGATATTGCCTTTAATTCATACAGTAAATCTGTATCAATGTGCATGCTTGATAAGCAATATATGTATTTAATTTTTCAATCTTTTTCAGAAATCATCAAAATTAGAAAAGATTATAGCTACGAGTTGATTTTACTCCTAATACCAGCTATGTGGGATTGTGACTATCTTTTGTTTTCGAAAATTTGCGAATACCTTGCTTTTTGCGAAAAGCATTCAATTATTGACAGTTTTCTACCAATGATAGAAGCTCGAAGCTCAGATCGTAAGTTTTGCTACGCAGCATCACTACTAGCATGTCATTTACCTCAAAATCATATTTTAAGAAAATTTATCAGCAAAAAATTGACAAATCACATATTGAAATTGGAAACAGAGAGTGATATAATTTTGTATACGAAGGCCCTGATTGTTACGGCTCCAAGAAATACGAAACATGAACTAATTTATCAGTTTTTCTTTCAGTCAAAGTCCCATAAAATCAGATCACTTGGTCTGATTCTTTCTGGAATGGTCGATAAGACATTCAAAAAGACTGTTTTTGAATCAATTGCCACTGCAATCAAAGAAAATGACCTAAATTTCATAGAAACAGTAACTCTTTTATTCCCAATTGATGGCATATCGCTATTTGAATTGATTTATTCTATTGCTTCCGTTCAAGAAAACTGGGCAAAAGAATTTGTTGCAAAATCACTTAAAAACATGAGTGAAGACTCAAAAAAGCAGTTCCTTGATGATATTCACACTATAACTATACTGCCTACAAATGATATCGGTAAGCAATTCGCTATTTTTATTTCAGAAAATTCGAATTCATCAAAAGACGCGGATTTCCTCTGTAAATCAATTGCGTTGAATGTTTCTGATGAGTTTAATATAGTATTTCTTCAATCTCTTCTTTATTTGCACGACAAGATACATTTTCAAGGAAATAGTGAAATCAAAAATAAACTACAGCTTATGACAACATCAGTTTCCCGTGAAGTTCGTCAATTATCTGCCGAATTGCTTAATATTATTGAACAAGAGTCAAATTAATTATTTTCTTTCTAATTGTTCGTAAATGTTATATTTTTATAATATGATTTTTCAATATTTCTCTAGGATAAGATATATGTGAAATTTCAGAATCAGAAAGTTGAAAATAAGTCAGTTGTGAAATTATTCAAGAATATGTAATCGTAATATAATAGAAAATAGTATAAATTCATATTCACCTAGTTTTTATTTACTTGAAACTTGCTGATTATTTGCATTTACGAAGAATTACAAAAAGAATTCTTTGAAATTTGAATATTTTTCCCCAATCGACATACAAAATTATAGATATGTCTTAGAAAATAGATATCAATCAGATATAAATTGAATATCATTCAAATAATTTTGGAAAATAACTCATGACAGATTTTCAAGAAATTTTCTTAATACAATACTAACCAAAGGCTCTATTTAAAATAAATTCCAATTTATCGTTGCAAAAAATTAATTTTCTTTTTCAAATTTTAGAATGGAGTATGAAAACAATGGTTCAGCAGAGTCAGAGTCATTTGCTCTGCGAAGCTATGTCTATCAAGAAAACTTAGACTATGTAAAAGACTTAAATTTTAAAACAAATGCAAGCAAAATATCAGTTCTAGTTAAATGTGTTTATCCTGATCCGGAGAACCCAGAACAGATCATTTCTAAGCATGGTTCACTCTCAATTTCCTCTGGAAAGCCGATTAGTCAAATATGCAAAGAATTTCTTGCGACTTATCCAGAAATTCCCAACAAAGCTTATTATGTTAGCTATGACCAACTGCTTTTCCGTGAAGGTACAATAGCGCAATGTGGAATAACCCATGGAAAATCTGTAGAATTAATTGCTCCAGGCAAAAACCATGCAGCAAATCATAATGAAGGTCTTTTCCTCTTAGTTGTTTCATTCTTGCCTTTCATTATCGGTATTGCAACAATTGCTTTGTCAATGAGTTCTGAAACATCAATAAGTACTCATTGGAAGGCATTTTTCCTCTTCCTTGGATTTCTTTTCATTATCCCTGCTACTTTAACTGGAATTGTTGGGATGATTTTGATTCCAGAATGTCCAATGCCTTGTTATTTCCGTGGAACTGAATGGTGCTGATCATGGCAATTATATTTGCATCCTTAGTAAATTTTTTTTCTTAATAAAAATAATTTTCTAGATCTATAATGTTTTTTTCAGACTATAACTGTATCTTTTGTATTGGTAATGAATATCTTATGTTGTTTTGAACTTAATTGAAGAAAAAAGAAAAAAAATTGTTTTGATTCAAGCAATCACCAGTCATTAAGATCAATATCCTCGCCAATTATGACAAAGAAATTTAAGATTGTATCTTCAATCTCTGATGTATCAGTTTTTTGGTTTGGATTATTTTTAAAACTTAAATAGATGCGGCAAATAAGATCTGAGAGATTGTGTGTCATGCATGTATAATTAAAATCTCGTTCTTCATTGTTACGATAGTTTTTTGTTATGAAATCAATGTAAACTCCGATTTCTGTGAGATATTTTGATTTGATTGGGTCTTTAACACAAGAATTTTTGAGAATATAAACAGTTGTGTCTTTGAATTTCTCCAAAATATCACCAAAATACTGAATTTCATCATCATAATTCATTTTTTGGAAAAAAAAATTGACAAAAAAAGTGGAATATTTTCAACAACTTTTTTGAGACTTTCTGCAAAATTGTTATGCGTTACCGTTTATTTTAATGAATAACTTGATTGTTGGATTGATTTCTTATGTGTACTTCGTTTACAAATAAAGGACATCATCAAATTTGAGTCAAAAATTAAACAATGATGAGAGAGTTGAAGCAAAATAAGCGTGATAAAATGAAACTCCATAAGATACTGTATTTGCTGATTCTATTTGGGATTTATAGATAAAACAACAATAATCTGGACTTGAACCTCTTCCTTTTGAAAATATGACTGTTTTTTATTTATTTTTTATGGCTTTTATTAGAAGAGTATTTTTTGCTTCTCCAGAACTAACAGAGCAGGAATTTGTTGTTAGTCAAGTTGATTTGCTTGTTAAAGGCGAAGAAGTCGAAAATGTCCTCCGAAATCTGAAAGATTTGAGTATAAAATATCCAAACGAGATAGGAAGCAGAGCTATTCCTTCTATAGTAGATATTTTAGTCAAATACGAGAAAAATGATGATTTAATATCAAATTTGTTCGTAATTATCAGTAATCTCCTTCATGAAAATAATGAAAAACGCGCCGAATTTGCAAAAGTTTTCTTGGAGCAGCCAAAGACATTACACAATCTTATAGAAACTAGCGAATCAAAAGTTTTCAAAAAGAGACTTTCTACAATTAAACTTCTTTCAATATTATGCAGTCTACAACCAATCCTTTTCCAAAACGTACTCACAAATAATCAAGAAGAAATGACAAAGTTATTTGCATTTATAAACGACGAAAATGAACAAATTGTCGAAGAATTTATCAATTTTATTCCGATTTTAATCAGTAAGTCCGAAAACTACCAGCAGATTGTCTGTTTTAACATCATGGACCGCCTTTCTTCCCTTATTTCTGCAGACAGACCCAACGTAATGAAAGCAGTTCATTCAGTTTTAGACGGAAACGAGTTTTCTCAAAAGCTTTTTGTTGAATCTGGATACCTTAAGAGGTTATTACCGTTAATCGAGTTCCCACAAGCAACTGCTTACGATTTACTTACAGAAATCTTTTCATCATCAAATGCTCCAACCTTACGAAACTCAGTTCCACCATCTGGCATCATAGAAGCATGTGCCAAGCATGTATCAGTCAATAACCAAAGGGCAAACAACTTAGATTTGCTTTCTTTGCTTATACAAGGCAACGAAGAATGTTGTTCAAAGCTTTCTGGACATTTAGAGTCATTTATTTCTATTTATTTATCAGATACATCATCAAGAGAACTGTTCAATACCTTCTTTATTGAATTTTTCTCAAATGTAACTTCATCATCCCAAATTTGTTCAAAAACAATCGAACAATTTTTCCAGAAAAATCAAAGCCCATCTCTTTTTGACATTGCAACAATCTCTGTTTTGTGCAACCCCGATATCAAAGAGTTCTGGCTCTATTTGTTAGATTTGTCATATCCCCTGATTAAGAACGCTATTCCCCCTGCAATTCGTTTTGCAATTTCTTATGTCAACCAAAATAAAGAAGCTGCAAACAAATTCATTGCTGAGAATAGACAGTTGTTCTTCAAGCTCCTCTTGCTGTTCACTGAAGAACAAACAAGAGGTGATGTCAAGCATCTCATCTCACTTTTGTTCACTTCACTTTTGATGTACAAAGACTGTGAAGACAAAATTATTGAAAACATTTGTTTACTTTTAATCGGAGAAGAAAAAGTATACAATGCGCTAACAGAAATGAAGTCAAATTCATATGAATTGTGGAATGAGTTCGAAGAAGATCTCATCAAAATAATTATGGATAAAAAGCCGTTAGAAAATGTTTCTCAATTTGACAATTTGACAGACGAAGAAGTCAAGAAAGAATTGAAGAAATTGAACGACGATCTCAAAGAAAAAGATAAAATCATTGAAGAAAATGAAAAGAATAACGAACAAAAAGTGTCGGATCTTAAGAAACAAATTGAAGATTTGTCAAAACAAAAAGAAAATGAGAATTCTGACGTTTTACAAAAACTTGATAATTTACAAAAAGAAAATCAAAAACTCAAAGAAGAGAACGAAGAAAAAGAATCAGAACTTCAAAAACTCAAACAAGAAAATGAAAATCTTAAAAATATTGATGCTCAAAAAGTGACATATGACGATGAAAAAGTGTCAGAACTTCAAAAAATCATTGAAGATCTCAAGAAAGAAAATGAATTGATTCAAAACCAAAAAGAAACAAATGACAATGAGAAGATTTCTGAACTTCAAAAAATCGTTGAAGATTTGAAGAATGAAAATGAAAAATTGAAGAGTGAAGTCAATCAAAAAGTGACAGATTTACAAAAAGCTGAAGGTGAAAATGATTTAATCAAGAAGTTGCAAGAAGAAAATCTTGAAATTGAGAATGAAAAAGATAAAGAAATATCTGAATTAAACGAGAAACTTGAAAAACTTCAGAACCAAGTAAATAATTTGTCAAGTGAAAAAGTAACAAAAGATGACATCATTTCTTCACTTCAATCAGAAGTTAATGACTTACAAGAAGAAATCGAATCCAGGAAAGATGATAAACAGAAGGAAATTAATTCTCTTAAAGAAAAGATTGAAACCTTAGAAAATGAAAAGATTTCACTTCAAGATTCAATGAATGAAGAAATTCATAAACTTGAAGAAGAAATTTCTAATTTACAAAACGAGAAATCTGTTTTAGAAACAGAAAACGAAAAACTATCAAAACAAATCGAAGAATTGCAAGAGAAAGAAAAATCATCACAAGAAGAAAACGAAGAATTATCAAAACAAAATGAAGAAATGAAAGAAAAACTTTCTAAACAAGATAAAGAATTCGAAGAAGAAAAAGAAAAATTGAATGCAAAAATTGAAAAAATAGAGAAAGATTTATCAGATGGTAATAATGAAAAAGAAACATTGACAAATGATTTTGAAGATGAAGTCAAACGAATTGAAGAAGATATCGACAACAAGAACAAACAAATCAAACAATTAGAAGAAGAAAAATCACAATTAAACGAAGAAATGAACAAACTTCAACTCAACAACGAATTCCTTCAAAAACAAAAAGATGTTGTTGAAACAGAAAATAATAAAATCAAGAAAGATTTCGAATCATTGTTAAGTTCACTTAACAAACCAGACAAAAGCGAAATGATCAAGAAATTCGACGAAGAAAAGCAACAAGAACTTGAGAAAACTAAAACAGCTAAATCAGAATTAGAAAATCAAATCCATCAAATGTCAATTGAAAAACAAAAATTAACAATTAATCTTGAAAAACTTGAGAATGATAAACTTAATTTGCAAAACATTGTTAATGATTACCAATCTAAGAACAGTGAAATGACAAAGAATTTACAAGATTTGCAGAAGAAGAATTTTGATTTACAAAATCTTTATGATGATTTAATAAATAAGACGAACGAACAAAATCATAGAAATGAAAAGTCACTTGAAAACAAAGACGAAGAAATCAAACAGTTGAAAGATACACAACATGAATTAGAATCTAAGATTGAAAGTCAACTTGAATCATTACAAAACAATGAAGAAAAGATTAAACTTCTTGAAAGCAAGATTGAAGACTTAGAAGAAGAAAAATTAGAACAAAACAATATAAATCAAAATAAGATTTCTGAATTGGAACATAAAATTGAAGAACTCCAAAACAATTCATTAAACAATGATGAAAATGAAAATAAGATTTCAGAATTAGAAAATCAAGTTCAAGAATATCAAGAAACTATTGAAAAACTTAGAAAGCAAATCGAAGAATTAGAAAAAGAAAAAGAAAATAAAGCTGATACATCAGAAACAGAATCATCAACAAAGATCAAAGAACTTGAAGATAAGATCGAAGAACTTGAGAAAGAAAATGATCTGTTTCAAAACGAAGGTGAGAGTATTTTAGATTTGCAAGAAGAAGTTACAAAACTTAACAATGAAATTTCAACACTTCGACAATTAACTTGTAAACTTGAAGAAGACAACAAAACATTGAAAGACGGAAGCGAAGAAGACGAAAAACTTATTTCTTCATTAAGGAAACAACTCAAAGAGAAAGAAAAAGAGAAAGAAAGTGAAAATGATAATATTTCCCAAATTAAAACGAATCTGTCAGTTCTCAGTAAAGAAAACGATAAACTGAAACGAGAAATGCAGATGAAAGACGACAAAATATCAGATTTATCCATTTTGACATCGTCATTGCGAACAGAAAACGAACATCTTAAATCAGATCTTGACATCAAGAAGAAAGAGATCGACATCATTAAGAAGAACGACGAAACAGTTCAAAGTGCACTTGACCAAATCAAGAACTCAAATTCATCAGATAAAACTATTAAATCACTTCAATCACAACTTAGTGTTTGTTGTATGCAGAAAGAAACACTTGAGAAAGAACTCGAAGACATGCGTAAAGAAGATCAAGAAACTATTGCACAACTTAAACAAGTTGTCAACGAGTTACAAACAAAGATTTCACTTTCATCACCACAGCGTGAATTCAACCAAATGAAGATTCAACTTAAACAGAAACAAGAACAAATTGAACGTCTTCGTCAAGAAAACGATGAACTTCAAAACAAAGTTAATTACATCAAAGAGAAAGCTAAGAACGACATCAAAGATATCATTAAGAAGACACAAGTTCCCGAAGTTAAATCAAGCGAAAAGACACTGAGTGAAGTTTCTGATTTACGTCGTAAAGTATTGATGTTTGACAAAGAGAACCAGAAACTTACTGAACAGAACAACGAACTTAAGAAACAACTTCAATCTATTTCTGTTTTAGAACAACGCGAGAAAGAATACATCACACAAATCTCTAAGTTGACTAAGAAGACGAAAGAACTTGAAGAAGAAAACAAACTTATTAAGAAATCAGAAGAAGATAAAACTGATATTGAGCAACGATATTTAGATACAGTTACAAACACATCTAAAATGTCACATGAGATTCAGACACTTAATGAAACAATCAACACATTGACACAAAAGCTTTCACAACTTAAGAAACAACATTTGCAAGAGAAGAAAGAAATGCAAATTGAGGTTTCAACATTGAAGACGAGTCTTGATAGTAGTCTTAAAGAACTTGAAGAAGAACGTAAACATAACATGCAACTTATTAAAGATTCTAAAACTAACATTGTTAAATTGTCTGAATTAGAACGAACTCATGCAGAACTTCGAAATCAAAATGAAACCATTTCATCTGTTTCCGTTTTACGAACATCTCCTGTTTCTCCACTTCGACAAGAATCATCTATTATTAGTGACGATCCAGAACACAAGAAAGCTCTTCGGTTAATTGGCAAGATGTGGCTAATGAAGAACACAGACTACGACAGGAAATAAATATTTATTTTGTTATTGATAAACTTATCTTGAATTTTCTTTTTCAAATGCCTCTTACTTTTAATGTTTACTCAAGGTAAATGTGTGTGCGCCACTTTTCACCTCTTACGATCCTTGATAAATTGTTTTTCTTTCTGATGTTGTTCTTCAAGAAAACGGTTTTTGTCAATTTTTATAAATTTCGAATGAAGATGACTTTTCATGGGATTATTACTTTGCGAGCGAATTTGTAGGAGCTCAGACTCAACGTTGCCAAAACTGTAATCTACCAGCAGGCAAAGGTCAATATTACTTAGATGAGTGCAGTTTTTTTGATGATAAAGACCGAGTTATCAACTTTGATCCAATTATAAATACTTTGTTTCTACATAATCGGTGTTCTTTTAGTAAATACAATTCAACAAAAAGCGGAAGTTGCATTTACTACAAAATTGGCAGTAATAGTTCGATTGTTCAACGAAAATTCTGTTGTACAAAATGCCAAAGCAAAGGTTATGGCCAATTTTCATATACATATGTTGACAGAGATAACTTAAACTTTTTTATTGAAAGTTCCCTTTTCGATGTAGGAAAAGAAAGTGTTGGTAGTTCTATTGAAGCAGAAGATGGTAATATCGTAGTTTCATCAACAAATTTCTCATCAAGCAAAACTCAGTGGTCACCTGCTGGTTTTTTAAAAAGTCCTAATGTTAATTACACAACAAAATATAACTATACAACTGTTGTTAATAATTTAGCACCAGATACTAATATTCTAGATTTTTGGTATAACTCTTTGATTGATTCATGTAATATTATAAATAATACCATATCAAAATCAGGAAGTGGAATTATTTACCATTGGAGGAATTCTCTTACTGTAAAAAGTTGTTCTTTTATTAACAACACTGTTCCTCAAGGTTCATATTTGATATATAACTATTATGATCCAAATGAACAAACAACAGTTGATAGTTGTTACATTGACAATTCGATTTCATCAACATTTAAATATAATACTGTAGTACCTACTAATACAAGAGAACTATTTACTAACAAATTGATTCATTTTTCAACTGGTAATTGCCAAGCAGAATTTGCAATTATCAATAAAAGTATTTCTAAAGTTAATAAACTTTCTCTTTTTTTACAAACTTTAGTAAACATTTCTAACTCTTCATAACCTAATATTTCCACATCATAGTTACAGGCAGCCAAATCTGAAAGAATCCCCTCTCTATTAGAGCTAATATGGTCATCCATTGGAGTTAATTTTCATGCAAAATAATAAAGGCAAAGCTGTACTTAAAGTTGCAAAAGTCAAAAATGATATATTAGAGGAAAGGGACAAATTTTTAAACGATAAATTATTGTCCTGTCGATAGACTCAAGCATGTCGTGAATTAAAATATTAGATAATTTCTTCCAGGATTCAAATAAAAAATAAAAGTGACAAAATGATTCCGGAAGGTAGATCTAGATCTTATTTTCTTGCAACAATGATCGTAGTATCAACATTTCTTACTTCGGCGTCAGCTGTTTACTTCCGTTTTAACAGTAAGCCTTTAACTGCTAAACGACAAAACGTTTATTACAACACGTCAGTTGCTTTTTATGTTATTGTTGGTGCATCACATAAAATTCCACCAGATGAAGATCTCAGAGGTAAATTCTGGGAGTGGCAACTTCCATATAAAGATCTAAATGCAACAGTTGATTACGTCAGTGACGGTCCTGTCAATATTACTGGCATTCCTGCCCTCGTTCCTGGTGTTAATCCAAACGCTCGCTTTGATGATCGTCAATTTTGCATCAGAGCCCCTTATACATGGAAACATTTCGTCGAGAAACATGGAGAAGCGAGATGGTACTTCAGAGGCATTCATGATACATTTGTTAATATGTCTGGTCTCGTCGAAACGATGAAAAACCTTGAAAGTCAACTTGATCCTATGAAAGAATTCGGATTTGCATATAATGTACATGAGTATGGCTATCAATTATATCCTCATGGTGGAGCTGGTTACTTGTTTTCAAATTATGCAGTTAAAAAATTCCACGAAAACGCAGGAAGATTCAATTATTACTGTCATCAAATCGCCGATGATGTTGGCTTAGCTCCATTCATGAGGGATGTCTTTGGACTCGATGTTACCAAATATATCTCGAAATATTTCATTACAACGTGGCCAAATACAGAAAATGATATTATTTTCAAAAAAGAATACTACAAAGTTGGACAATGTCCTCCATATTATCAACTATACAACGGTGCTGCAAAATTAACTCCATGTCCTGCACATTCTGCTGTTTCTCTTCATATGCACAAAGTTAATATGAAATTGGCATTGGATCTTATCCAACAGACACCAGAAGAATTTTCTGTTACATACCCTAATCCTTCTACACCTACTTTCTGTAAGAATTAATTTTTTCTTAGAATCTAAACTATTTTTGTTTGTTTTGTTATCGTTTATTGTAAATATAAACTTATTTATATTGTTTGAAATTATTATTGGTCGCTCTAATTTAGAATATAAAGAAAAAAATTCAATTTGATCATAAATTAAGAGAATAATTTAATCATCTACCTCTTATTTCGCATTTTCTCCTGATTTTTCAGATAATATCATTTTGTTATGGATTTAAGTTAGACATTCATAGAGAATGATTCAATATTTACATATATAGTTTTAAATTCTTATTAACATTGAATAATCATGTTACAGAAATTAGTTTTATTATGAAAATTATGCATTTTGAGTGAATTCAAATTGAGATATTTTCAAATTTCAAGAGAAAAAGCAAGATATTTACAGTGAAAAACGACTACAATTAGTTACATATAAAGATAAATAACTTTTTTTAAATAAAATTTTATTCAATAATTGAAACAGTTTGACTTGAAGAAGGAAGCATCTTTAAGAATGCAGGAACATCAGATCTAGCGATACCATTCTTTATTCCGACGCATCCATTCCAGCAGACCCACATTCCGTCCTTTAATCCGTCAGCATTTCCTTGGCAAGGCAATTTACCCCAGATATGCTTAGCTACTTCATCGTCGTGGTCTATCTTGTAGAACATATCGATTATTGGTACGCAGAGTTTGATATTCAAGACTTCTTGTCCATCTTGTTCAACTCTTATTCCAATATTGGGGTTTGTCATCTTGTTTGACGTAAAAGTGATCGTATGGTTGATCTTAGAGCCAGCGTTAAGGTCGGCAATGACCCAAGGAGAAATCTGATTCGGAGTGAAATTCGATGGAATGTCGAAATACACTTTTAGAGAGGTTGTGAGCTGCTGGACGCTCAGTCTTACATCGAGAGCTATCGATTTGTTCTTCGCTGTGATCTGGGAAGCGACTTCTACGTTCAATGCGTGGGATGTTGGAGAAACTCTTGTATAAGGCCTTGATACGCTGAAAGACTGTAGCTTGTTGATATCGGAGATACCGTTGGAAAGGTATCCGATGTCTTTCGACGTACAAAGGAAAAATGGATCTACAAGAAGTTCTTCGCCGGTCAATGGCCCAGCTTTAAATGATGAAATCAGAGGGGCCTTCATCTCTTCATCGATGTCCTCGAGCTCATCTGGCTGAGCGAGGGCTCCAATGCAGCGAGTTAATCCGACTCTGAGAAGAAGTGGCAATTTCTCATGAATCTTGATGTTCTTGAAGTCTATGACGTCGGGATATTTGGTAAATAAGTGCGGGAAGAGGAGATTCTTCATCTGAACAACAAGATTTGATTTGAAATTCACAGGAGCAAAGTATGAGAGGTAAATAAGTAACATGGCACGAACTCTGTCATCTGTAATGGATATCGAGATATCAATAAGCTCTTGTAATGAGTCAACTGTGTACATATTGCAATTAAATAAGTAAAGAAAGGCTGCACCGGTAGCTACGTACCAGGAAGCATCTTTCCTGGTCCATGTAAGTAATTTCTTGATGTCTCTGATATGATTTGTGTTATCTTTGATGCCAATGATGCAAGAAACGGCAACAAGCTTTGAGAAGTAGTTCGGATTGACGCCAGGACCTGAAGCCTTATCCATAATGTTAGGAAGAAGGCTGTACATGCGAGCAACTGTTGCATATAAAGCAACTAACTTGAATTCTGTTTGTCCTTGCTCCTGTAATAGCATATCGCTGATTGTTTCGAAGAATATCTTGTCTTGTGCAGGTGCTTCTGCTTGAATAAGGATCTTTAAGTAAGCTGTGTATAATTCAAGGCGAAGACCATTAGAAAATGTGTTTTTGATGATGTCAATGTAAAGAGGGAGTACAACATTGAGTGGGAGATTCGATATCGATGGGAAATCGTTGGCCAATGGTAGAGATGATAAAATATAACAAGCAGTTGAGATGGAAGAGTGGGTAACAGGGGCGATTTGCTGGCTGATTGTTGGCTGCGTGAAGTTAAGGATGAATTCGACCTGCTTCTGGTTGATTAAATGTCCTAAAACAGGAAGAATATCAAATATTTGATCTTTGTAAGGAGCTAAGATTTCCTGGATGCGGGGATAGTCAACAGAGATCAAGAACATGATCCAGTTAACAGATAGGAACACAAGCTTCGGACTTTTCATAGTAAGGTTGTCTAGAATGGATTGAACCATTTTATCAGTAATAACAATGTTATCTCGGAATTTGTAGAGTGTGGAGAAGGCTGAAAAACGAATTTCGACGTTTTGATCGTCAAGGAATTGATTGATAAAATTAAAAGTGTTAAACTCTTGTAAAATAGAACTTGTTGGTGCTGTGCTGATGCAAAGGAGGAATTCTTCGGCAAATTTCCATTTTGGTGAAAGCTGAGTCTTGAATTGGGCAAAAAGTGGAGACCAAAAGCTATCTGGAAGATCTATGCTGCTAAGAGCAAAGAGAACACGCTTCTTATATTCATCTTTGACTTTTGGTGTGATTAAGAATTGTGTAATGTGATCAGAACAAAATCCAGGATCAATCTGTGGAGATGTCGCTAAATATTCGACATATTCAACAAACGTCTCGTATCCACGTGGAATGTTCTTGTTATTCTGAGGTTGAACGGGAACATCATCAAAAGGAAGCTTCCCTTGAAACATCAGATAAAATTTGCTAATAAAAAAAGTGACGATGTGATATAAAATTTATAAGGTATTGGTTCAAATCTAGGTTCTACCGGATTTTTTAATATTTATTCATTCGACTTGAAATAGTTTTTCAATTTCTTATAATGACCTACACAAAATTATTTGCTGTTAAAAATTCGCTTTCCGCTCATTTTCTTCTCAAAATTAAAAATTCCTTCACATTATGTTAAAAATGGAAATGATAAAATGAAGATCCTCCTGATAAAGGATGTAATTATTGTCAAAATGTATCTGAATTAATATTTACTGAATTCCTGACAGGCTTTAACCTTAAATTTGTTCGTTCATTCAGCTCAAATAATCATGTTATAACTCAATATTTGTTAAATATCTATCATCAATAACGATATAGCATGCTTCTATCCTATAAATATTTTTAATATGTCAGGTTGCTTTTATTGTTGTCAAAGGATTTCACAAAGATTATTTGAATTGAAATTTGAAATCGTAATTTGTTATTACAATTCTATCAAACCCTCAAGTAGAGTGTATACATGAATGTCCATGAGTTTCTTTCCAAACAGAGCGATATTGACATTTTTCGATTTTGGCCTGAAAAAAAATTATCGCCTTTTAATGGAATATGATGAGAATAGGTAACTATGCAATTTTAACTGGGAAATAAGAATGAACACCTATACAAAATCGGAAATTCAATTAAAATTAAGCGTAACAGCGGTTAGAGATCTGAAATCAATTCTTTACCCTCTCAATTTATTTTTTTCATTATTATGAGTGAACTTCTAATTCTCAGTACAGAGAAGTCCAAATACTTTTCGGAACTAATTGAAAAAGCAATTAATTGAAGCTGGATTCCACCCATTCCATCTAAACATCATTAGATCATCTTTCCCAAGTGGTGAGAAATATTATCGCTTAGACGTTCAATCAAACTTCGAGCTTCTCGACAAAACAGCTATATATGTCAGTGCGCTTGCAACTGATGATGATATTCTCGAAGTCGTTCGTGTTGGATCTCCTTTGGTTCAATACGGTGTCAGACGTCGTGTATTCATTATACCATTTCTTGCATACTCAACAATGGAGCGTGCAGTCCTTCCAGGCGAAGTTGTCACAGCAAAGTGCACAATTCAAATGTTATCATCTATCGGCTCTGGATCCAATGGTAACGTCTTCCTTTTGTTCGATCTCCATACAGCTGGCCTTCTTCACTATTTTGAAGGTCCTTGCTTAAAGCTTGAGCTTTACGGTCAAAAAGCATTATTAAGATCATTACCACTCATTGATTTTGATCCTGCAACATTCATGTTTGCATCTGCAGATCTTGGTCGTACTGCTTGGGTTAACGCATTCGCTCGTGAAACAGGAACACCAGTCGCGTTCATCAGAAAAGTCCGAACAATGGTTGGTTCTGAATCAAGATCACAAGCATTTGAAGTTATCGGTTGTGTAAAAGATAAGCACGTAGTAATTTACGATGATATGACAAGAAGTGGTTCAACTCTTGTTCACGCAGCCGAGAAGTACCTTTCTGTTGGTGCACTTTCAGTTGACGTTCTTGTTTCTCACTTCCTTCCAAACGATGAAGAAGTTATCAACTACATAATTAAGAGTCCTCTCAGGAAGATTGTTGCTTTGAATACACATCCAGCAACTCAAATGCCTCTCATTGCCCAGCATCCAGAAAAATTCGTAATCGCTGACTGCAGCAACGAATTTGTTGATTGTTTGAAGGAAATCATTCCAAAGAATTAATAGCCATATGTTTATTACACTATTCTACATATAAATGTTTTATTATGACTCTTTTTCTTTGTCTCAATTCGGAATTTTTTTATCAAAATTTCAATCAGATGTTTTCTTTTTAATTTGATTTAAGGATCTCGTATGGAGAAAAATCTTCTCCAACTCTAAACTTCAGTTTGGAGACACTTTACAAATTGTAAACTTTAAATTGGCAAAATATATATCTAAATATCAGTCATATTCCTAAATTTAACTCTGTTTGCGCTCAAACTTAATATAGAGAAAGTACTTAACATTTAATTTAGAATTGGCAAAATATATCAAGGAATATTTTTGTAATTTCATGAATAATATAAATGAAAGTAATCAACATAGAAATGCGAAAGCAAACTCCCTTAGGCTAAATTGATTTTATTGGGAAACAATGAAAAAATATTTTAGATTTAATTTTATCGATGATCTAAGAGAGATCATTAATAGATTAGATGAAAACTATTGTAGTTTTATTTGTATTATCAAATAAAGATTGTTTTAAATTGAAAATGCATAAAAATTCTGTGATATGATATTTTGTGGTAGTGGCTAATATCTATAGGTGAAATATAATATAAACTCGCCATAAATGCTGATTAACATTCAAGAAATAAAAATTCCAATAATATATCTAAACAAATATTGGAACTATCTCTTGGGATCAGTAGATCATTGAAATCCCAAAAATATTGCCCATAGGAAGTTTTCATGAAAACGAAGGCAATGCCCGTCTCCAAAGCTTCTCCATTTCTCCATCTCCATGGAGAAATTGAATTAGTCTGTCTTCTCCACCAATTCAAAATTGAATACTTTCTCCACGTCTCCATGGAGAAAATGTGAGGTGAACTCATTGGGCGTTTTGACATTTCAAACTTTACAAATCTAATGGTTTGTAAAGTTAAAATCTGACATTTTTGATAAGAAACTAGGGGTATAATTTACATTAAAATTTACAAAATTGGAGAAGCTTATATTTTGGAATTTGGAGATCCCAGCCGTTATTTCTCCAAACGAGATCCTTATTTGATTAGTTTAAAATCATATAGCATATTGATTACCGCTTAAATTATTAATCAGTATATTTCCAAATTTTTTTCAAAAATCCAAAAATGAATCAAATTTGTAATAAACAGAAATTCATCAAAAGTGACAGCTCTCAATTTTTTGACATTTGTAAATTCTAAATTGAATGAGAAAAATGAAATAATACTAAGCATAATACAATATTCTAGATTTAATTATAATTAGGAAAAAGTTAGTTTTGAGAGTACTTTTCATAGGCATATAGAATGAAATCTTCTGAAAAATAATATCACATAAACTCATATTATTTTCTAATATATAACTATTTTATATAAAAATCAAATTCAATGATCTTAAAAGCGAAGGATAAACCTCAAAATTTACGAATATAATGAGTGGGAATAGGCGTAAAGCAAAAATTGATATTTCATATGGTTTTATGATAGATAAGCATTATATTCCCACTCATTATATTCGTAAATTTTGAGGTTTATCATTCGCTTTTAAGATCATTGAATTTGATTTTTTATAAAATAGTATATATAGAAAATAATATGAGTTTATGTGATATTATTTTTCAGAAGATTTTGTGTTCTTCTTCAAAATTTTATTTTTTTATTAAAAAGAATCTTTACAAAATATACATTTACTTTAATTAATATTTAAAAACGTGCTCTATCAAAAGTTCCAAAAATTCAATATTTTAGCTTTTCTGAGGTGTCACTTTTGATGAATTTCTGTTTACAACAAATTTTCTTGAGAAAATTATTAATTTATATGAAAAACCAAAAAATTTGGAAATTTTAAAACAGTGTTACTGATTAATATTATGTTAGTAATTTAATATTCATCGTAAATATTCTTTACTATGCCAATTTGAAATTAGTAGTATATGTGGACGGGTTTAGTGACTTTTTTTGTTACATCTATATATAGACGATGCATTAAAATATATTTATTTATAAACACATTAAAAAATTAACATTAATTTTAAAATAATTTATTTTTTTATCTTTTATAAAAGAAGCTATATATAGATGATGTCAGATATTCCGCGATTAATTAAACATTGTTTAAATCCTGAATGGGTTAAACTTCAATTTAAAAATGAAGATTGTGAATTATTAAATGAATATGAAAGCCAAAATAAGCTAATGAGGTATAAATATAATGATAAAGAATATTTAATTTCATGGAATCAATGGAGTCATAATCAAAGACCTCATAAACGAGAAGAAGAAAATTGAAAATAATGAAATGGAAATCATTGATGACATTAAAGAGGATGGAATTCCTAAATTTTGTAGAAAAACCTTTAGAACTAAGTTAGGAGCATATAAACGTAGAGTATTAAATCCTGAATACATAAAACATATATTTAAAAAGGAAGACTGTGAATTATTAAACGTTAATGAATATGAAAATGCTAAATCAAAACTGAGATATAAATATATTGGAAGTGATGAAAGGTGTAAAGATAAAGATAAAGTTTATTCAGTTTCATATAATAACTGGCACACGTTAGGGATAAGAAAACATTTAGGAGATTATGGTAAAAGTTCTGAATTCTTTAAATCTAGTATGTACGAGAGAGTAAAAGAAATTAGAAATAATTATTTTCATGAATAAAAAATAAACTTTTAAAATTCATGTCTCAGAATCAACATTGAACTTTAATAAACTAATGATTATTTGAATTTATGAAATCAATTATTTGATTCATTCTTTCTTCAATCTCTTCTATTCTTTTTGTTAAATCATCTATTTTCATTAATGAGGTGATTCTTGATTGAGGAATAGATTTCAAACTAACCACTCCTTTTATTTTTGAAATTTTGAATCCATCAACTTTAAACATTTTATTCAATTTACACGTTGTCAATTCTTCAAATAATTTTTTATTGTTAGCATAATAGTTATTAAATTCTTCAACAGATGAAAAAATTTTTATTTCAGTAATTGGTTTAACAACGTTTATTTTTTGTTGAACATTTTCACTTTCATTTATTTCATCCTCCTTTGTTTCATTTATTTTTAAAATCGGTTTCATTTATTATAAAATAAAAATTAGAATATAAGTGATGAAATATATTTTTTAATTAATATTAAATCAGAAATGGCGGCAGGATTCTTTAAAAAATTATGGGATGGAATTAAGAAAGCTGCGGGTTGGGTTTATAAAAAGATTATTAAACCCGTTGCAAACTTTTTGGCACCAGTAGCGAAAACGGCAGGAACTATCATAGGTGGAGTATTAGGTACTAAAGCAGGTAATCCGGCGATGGGAGCACAAGCAGGTAACGCAGTTGGTGGAATAGCTGAAGGAATACTTAATAAAATAGGAGGTAGATAGTGGAAAAATAAATAAATATTATTTTTATCTTAGTATCGGTTGTAGTCTTTGATAAACTTTTTCCCCTTTATTTAATATTTCTCTTATTGGGGCAGCTTTTGGCGTTATTGATTCAGCAACGTCACTAATTGCTTCTTTATTCTTAAATATCCAATTTGCTCCTTTCTTCATTGTTTCCCAAACTTTATGCGCTCCTCTTTTTACTTTATCCCACAGTTTCTTAAAGAATCCTGCAGCCATAGTTGATTTAATATTAATTAAAAATTCATTTTCATCTTTTAATTTTGATTTTTTATTTATTAATAAATGACGACTAACTATTTGGTGCCAAACACTAAACCGATTAATGGAAATGTGTTTCATTCATTCGAAAAGATAAATGAAATATTCGCAAAGAATGACGGTAGAAGATATTATAGAGAACTTGAAAGTTCATGCTATGACTCTGATGCTCCATATTTTGATGATAAACAAACTCATTTAAGAATTACAAATCCAGCTCATGATGTGAACCAATTAGGTGACACATATATTAAACGCAAAGTTAAAGCAACTCTAGTTTCAAATAAAGCTTTCACATGTGATGCCGCTTTTAAATGCATACGTTTATTCGTTGGTTACAAATCATCAAATCAAAGCTTTAAACAATTAGAAGTAGAAACTGAAAGAGGTGATGCCGGTTATCTTCAGATGGATTGTGCCCGTGAATCTTTCGCATTTGCAACATATAAACCAAAATCAGAAAGGAAAGTTAAAAAGTTTGTTCATTCGTTATATAATAATGTTCAAAAATATGATAACTCAGTATGTGGTAAATATATTGACCCTTCAGAAGTTTTCAAGAAAGCAAATGAAGAAGTTGATATCACTTTTGATATGATTATTCCGGTAAATGATTTGTTAGCATTTCAGGCGTTCGATGATTATCCTAAATCATTTGGTGAAATCATTCTTAAATATTATGTTTTCAGGGATACTTTAGTATTTTGTCAGGTTGACCCGTTAAGAGTTGCTGATTTACAAAATTACGTTTATGAAAAGATAACTGATGAAAATTATGAAAAGATTATGAATCATGTTTATAAATATGATCGCAAATTCCAACAAATCGGACTTCCTACCAAATTAATTACAAGCTTAGCCGCTACATCTGCTGACGCAACAGTTGATGACGTTATTATTTCATGCACAAAGATGGAAGTTTTAGAGGATAAATGCATTACACCAGGATATGGTTTAATTGAAGAATCAGTTAAAGCAATACCACGTTTATTCAGTAAGGAAGATCCATTCATGATTCCAGCTCAACATATTGACGTTCGTTCACTAAATGGAGGTTGCATCACTCCTGAAGGTATCAGCTCAGATTTCTCATGCTCTTCATAATGTTACAGATGTTGTGTTAGCATTTCCGAAGAATGCAATGCAAAGAACAGTTTTAGAAAATCCAATGCTTCGAGGTCTTCAGGTCACTATAGATTCCAGAAACTTCCCCGATCAAGCGATGACCACAGTGGGTGACATATTCTTTACACGTATGCTTCAAGCTTCTGATTTAGATGGAGTGAATGAATGCACGGAAGAATACGAGGACTCATTA